AAATATCAAAGCATTCAGGCTTGTAGTTTTCAAGAAGAAGTCGAAAAAGTAAAACATTGACACGGACGACGGACGCCGACGGACAATCACTCATATGATAAGCTCCACTCGACAAAGTCGACAGCGGAGCTAAAAATCTGACAAGTGCAGGTGTTTGTAAAACACACATTTTTAACACATGTGTGATGATGACCAAGAACATGTATATTTTCTAGGTCTTACAGAGATCTCAGAGGAACAGTAAGTAAGAAGTTCATAGTCTCCAAAATGTGACTTTGCCACCACCAGTAGAGATAATGGGCAAATCCTTGAAAGGATATTGTCATTGTACTTGCCAATTCAATTTCAGTTTACACAAATATGCAATAATCCTACCCATGCATGTGCCTCATTTTAACAGTTTTATTTGAAGGGTTGATTGTTATTGGCCCAGGGGTGTCACATGGTATGCATATTATTTCCTGTCCATTGCATTGTGGGTGGGATTGCTTACCTTGATTTGCATATCTCCTCTACACTCTACTTTGAATGATCCAATCTGTTTCAGACAAGTCACGCATGGATCACTCGCTTGGATCTTCAGAGCTGTGGGTATAACATCAAAAATACAAGATCTGTTAGAATCATAATTTGAGAAAACTGTCTTATACAAGATTAAAGTAGCTTGAATGCTATCAAAGTATGCTTCCATTTGCATGAATTCCTCAAAATAGTAAATATATTGTTTTACCTTCTCCTGTCGATTCCATTCTTGATGCTGTATTTACGGTATCACCAAACAGACAATATCTGGGCATCTTAAGTCCCACCACACCAGCCACCACAGAGCCTAACATTGTCAAATCATGCAAGTATTAATAAACTCATAGAATTCAGTAAAAATACCAAAGTAAATTTTGTCACTTAAATCACTTAATTTGTTCTATTTCACAAATGTTTTTCAAGACCAGTATCCAACTGGAGATTATGTGCAAATCCTTAGTGATCAATATTAACAAAAACATCATAAACAAACTCACAAAACTTGAATGTCAAAGTCAACTTTGGTCAGCTGCATATTGTTCAAATATTTTTGTTAACAAGAAGTTATGCCAGTTTGGTCCAAAATTAACAAAGTACATTGTAAATACAAACAAGCAGCCTATCGGCTGAGATAACTCCGCTGTTAGCAATGCACATTTCAATTAAAGAACTGAAGACATCATTAGAAAATGAACAATATGAATAGCATCAAAGCAATCGGACTTACAGTTTTTAACAAGAAGTCGAAAATATCACTTTTTACCAAAAATTACAAAAATATTCACCAAAATAAATTAATTAGAGAATTGAAGATATCATCACAAAATGAACAAATTGAGAGAGGTCCACATGTAGTACCTATATATGTAATATCAAAGCAATCGGACTTACAGTTTTCAACAAGAAGTCGAAAATATCACTTTTTACCAAAAATTACAAAAATATTCACCAAAATTAGAGAATTGAAGATATCATCACGAAAAGAACAAATCTGAGAGAGGTCCACATGTAGTACCTATATATGTAGTATCAAAGCAATTGGACTTGCGTTTTTTAACAAGAAGTCGAAAATATCACTTTTTACCAAAAATGACAAAAATATTCACCAAAATTAGAGAATTAAAGATATCATTACAAAATGAACAAATCTGAAAGAGGTCCACATGTAGTACCTATATATGTAATATCAAAGCAATTGCACTTGCGGTTTTTAACAAGAAGTCGAAAATATCACTTTTTACCAAAAATGACAAAAATATTCACCAAAATTAGAGAATTGAAGATATCAACATGAAATGAACAAACCTAAGAGAGGTCTACCCAAGGTACATATACACCAAGTATCAAAGCACTCAGGCTTGTAGTTTTCAAGAAGAAGTCGAAAAAGTAAAACATTGACACGGACGACGACGAACAATCACTCATATGATAAGCTCCGCTCGACAAATTCGACAGCGGAGCTAAAAACAAAAACAAAATATGGCACTAAAATTTTGGATGAAAAAGATTAACACAGATTAAATCATGTGAACATATAGTAAGTTCCCTGGGTGCTTAAAAGCAACTGTACCTGAGTGTATTCCTGCTCGTATTTGAAGTTTTTCATCTGGTTTATGTGGAATGACAAACGTTTCACAGACTTTGACTAAATCTAAAGCCATACTGGCAATTTCAGAGGCATGTATGTAACCATTACGTTTAGGTACCCCAGACACAACCATATCTGAAAACAATCAAACAATGACATCAGTCATTTTATTATTGGTAATACGATGAAAGGGGTAATATGAATACCATAATGCATCTGCATAGTCAACATAATTTTACCAAAATTGTGATCAACACTTGTAGCCAATAGAAAATGTCCATTTGGTCCAAAATGTTGCAGCAAAACTTTGCTTAAATGGTGCTAAAATGGTTAATAAACAGCATCAATATTAGTTGACCAATGAAAAATTATTTCATTGTACATGTAATTTTTATTAATTTCATATTTATTTTTCTCAATACTATTTGTTTCACAATAAAAAACATATTAGTTACAATATAATTCAGCATGTACACTATATTGAATAATTAATTATGGCAACTATTAATTTGCATAATAATAAGTATACTTACATGCATCTCCAATTGTTTCTACTTTATAAACATCATAGCTATCAATAATTGAATCAAATGCAACATAGAGTTTATTTAATAATGCCACTACTTCATATGGTGTACTTGATCCAGATATAGAAGTAAAACCAACAATGTCACTACAGAGGGAAACAAAATTCAAATTACAGAGTGCCTTTTTTTTATGAATAATCTTAGTGCACTTCTTCAAACTCATGAATATTTTTAATAGATTTCATGAATATTGACTTTGTGAATAATAATAGACTTTATGAATATTGATTAACCACATGAATATTAAGTGTCTTTATGAACATGAATAGAGTTTACGCAGCAACATTAGGAAGTCAAATAAATATGACCTTATATGGCTATATTATCATTAAAAATTATATATTTTAAATAATAATTACACCTTTTGCGAAATCATAATATCTGTTTAAAATTACCTGAAGAAAATAGTACACTCATCAAAGTTTTCAGCTGCAGCAGACATCCCCTGTCGTAGTTGATCTGCTACTGCCTTTGGAAGCATACCTGAAAATATAAACAAGAATCATTTTAATTATGCTGTTTATGATTTTTAACAAATGAAATGATATATTCTTCTCCATGGCTTACCAACAAGTGGTATTTTTCAAGGAAATATGATACAATGAATTCAGAAAATATTTCCTCACAACTCAGTAAAAATGACACACACAATTATTCAATCAAGAATCATGAATATGATTTAAATCAACTAATTGGTCCAGGAATATTGATAAATATTAAACTCATAAATATTGATTAGTAACTATTTTGTGAACATTAATATCACTAATAATGCTTTTCTGAATTCACTTACTGTATAAGAGCCTGTCTGTTTTCTGTTTCTCTAACACTAAATCCTGTGTTCTTTCTGCAACAAGTACTTCTAAATGTTTGGAGTATTTTTCCATCAGCTGCATCATCATATCCACAGGACTTGCCTTATTTGGATTGATACGATGAAGGCTTTGTTTGATATTTGAAAATGTTGGTCTTTCATTTGGGTCTTCATTCCAACATGCTTTAATCAACTGGAAACAAAATGTAATTCATATTTATTAATAAGAATATAAAGATGAAGGGAAGATAATAAAGTCACAGACACTGAAGTTGAGAAAGCATCTGGTAAATCATTTTTGGTCTTATCCTCACTGTATATTTTTTGTACTTAGCCTGTTCCAGCTAAGAACAAGTCATTGAAAATGGCACAGTCCCCGTTAAATTTTTGAAAGTTCTCTTTGTGCTTGTCATATTAAAGCGGGGAGAGGGGGGGTTGTCGCGAGCGTGTCCTTGAAACTTGAGTTCCAAGTGGCGTATACAACAGATTGTTTATTTACATCAAAACACGTGTTCCGTGTAGTAGTAATATGACCAAAAATAATAACAGCCGTTATTTGGCCATCTTTGATCTGATTATGAAACACACTGATATGTATGATGTATGTGCCAAATACAAATGAAAATGGTACATAAATTGTGGAAATATAGTAGTAAGGCCAAAAAGTCAGATTGCTGTCAATCGGCCATCCTTGACCAGATTTTGAAACAAATTGTCATGGACATGCATCCTAACATGTATAAAGTACATGTATGTGCCAAATTTGAATGAAAACTGACAGAGCACTTCCAAGATACCGCATAAAAAACAAACAAGATGCCTGCCAGTCGACATCTTTGATCAATTGCGAAATAAATTGTCATGTAACCTACATGGATAATCTATGTACCAAAT